GATCACTCTTTGTACTTAAAAAGTACAAAGAGTGAAGATTATTCTATTGTAATATTTCATTAAGTACAAAGAGTGAAGATTATTCTATTGTAATATTTCATTAAGTAAAACGAGTGAAGATTATTAGATTATTCTATTGTAATATTTCATTAAGTACAAAGATTGAAGATTATTAGATTATTCTATTGTAATATTTCATTAAGTAAAAAGAGTGAAGATTGTTAGATTATTCTATTGTAATATTTCATTAAGTAAAAAGAGTGAAGATTGTTAGATTATTCTATTGTAATATTTCATTAAGTACAAAGAGTGAAGATTATTAGATTATTCTATTGTAATATTTCATTAAGTAAAATGAGTGAAGATTGTTAGATTATTCTATTGTAATATTTCATTAAGTAAAAAGAGTGAAGATTGTTAGATTATTCTATTGTAATATTTCATTAAGTAAAAAGAGTGAAGATTGTTAGATTATTCTATTGTAATATTTCATTAAGTACAAATAGTGAAGATTATTAGATTATTCTATTGTAATATTTCATTACATTTTACAATCTAATACTTTGCTACTTTTGGTCCTATACACTATAAATTTCAATTATATAGATGTATTTAAATAGTAGAAAATAATAATTTTTACTCATAGTTAAGGCATGGGACAGACTGAACAAGTGTTATTACAATTAACAGTCTACCTTATATTACAGAACAATAAATTTGGACCAGTCTGATGCTAGAATATTTGCTTACATCATGACCATTAATATTTAGGATTTCACAGAAAAATCTATGAGTTAGCCAATAACTTATTGCAATTCTTTTAAGGTTTCATTTTAACTCAACAAAAAAATTAATTACCAAACAAAATTACATCGGAAATTTATTAATTAACATCTACAGACTAATACTTATCCAATTGGGTGATACTATAAGCAGCAGAACTGAAACAATTGAAGTACACCAGTATATACAGGGTGATACTATAAACTGCAGAAGTGAAACAACTGAAGTACACCAGTATATATATATATATATATATAGGATGATACTATAAACAGCAGAACTGAAACAACTGAAGTACACCAGTATGTATAGGGTGATACTATAAACAGCAGAGCTGAAACATTATTAGACATTCCATTTTTTAAATAAGTAACAAGAGTCATTATATTTCATGCAGCTCAGCTTGATATTTTATTTTAACCCTGTCGATACATGGTCTTTCTCCTATCTAGCGAAACCACAGCCAAGGGAACGAGCTTGGAGAAATCAGCCGGGAAAGTATGTGAAAGACCATGTCACCTCGTTT